TTGGTACCCCAACATAAATTTTTCTCAAAGACAATTGTAGCTGATGTGTTAGTTAAAATAGCCGGTCCATCCTAAATAGGGTCGGGCATGCCTAGCCAATTTGAAATGAATATAGCAAGGACAAGCCCAGCCTAGCAATCAGAAAGCGGCTATCTCTACCTAGGCTTGGCCGGCTAGGCCACAGAAGGAAAGGGTCCATTAGATATGCCAAGTGGCTGATGATCTTGAGAAAGGGCAAGAAATGGATTTCACCAGAAAATCCTACATTAGGAAGGAAGAAAACAAACCCAATCACCAAGTGAGCTATCATGCCTAAAGAAAGTAGCCTCTAACTGATTTGGGGGACCATTTAATCATGAAAACGAGGACCACACTACCATAGGGTATACATAGACAAGAATGGGCAATTTTATTCTCAAGCGCCTATAATCTTTTTGTTCCTCAAGTAATATAAACCATTAGAGTGAATTAACCTAGCTCTTTAGCTTGGTGAATCACTTATCCCCTTGTTTTCTTACTATTGTAATTTTGCACGCGCACATACTCACACAAAGCTTATTAGCTCTCTAGCTCACTTAGTTTTCTACACCTTTAATTTGGTGCCATCTGTGTGGACGATTTTTGTCGTTCTACTCTGAAACTACATAACCTTTGTTTGATTGATGGTTCGGACAAGAAGCATGAGTTCGAATCTAGAAAACCAACAGCGAATTCCTCCACCACCAGCTCCTCCAACAAATCCGCCTCTAGTGGAGGAGCCTGAAACTTATTAAGACCACATGTTTTGCCTTCTCAAGGAAAACCAAGAAATTATCGCCATTATCACTGCCTGACAACTTCGAAATCCTTAGAATCTTCCTCCACAACCTCTATGGGGCCACTGAGGAGGACCATCAAAGCCACTCTGACGAAAATGTTCGTCCTCATTGAGCCCAGACAAAATAGGAAGATAAGGCTCATAGTAGAGTTGGAGAAGAAGTGAGACATATCACTCCACCTCTTCTCCGACAAAATCCATTGAATCAGTACTGCGAGAACTGCATTAAGGAAGTCTAGGATGAGCTAGGAAATGTAAAAAACATCGTCAAGAACCTAGTTCCAGTATCTATGGTGGCTCTCGTTCAACAAAAAGAGTCCTTATTCAGAAATCCAACATTTCTCTCAACTAAATTCAAGATGCTGCAAATGGAGGCGTTTGACAAGAACAAGGATCTCTTCAACCACCTTAACATTTTATAAAAATCATATGGAGGTTCATGGGTATCAAAACCAGTTGGTGTAGAGTCTTCATAATCACTCTTAAAGGCTAAGCACTAACCTAGTTCAACAAGCTACCATCATTCTCAATCTCCTCTGATATGTCAGTTAAAATAGCCAGCCCAGACAAAAAAAAAAGTCTGGCATGCCTTGCAATTTGGAATGAATAACATAATGACAAACCAACCCAAGAATCAGAAAGTGACTACCTCTGTCTAGGCCACATAAGGAAATGACCCATTAGATATGTCAAGTAGCTTGATGAGGAAAGAAAGGGATTTCACCAAAAAACCCTACATCGGGACGGAAGAAAACAAACTCAACCACCAAGTGAGCTATCATGCCTAAAGAAAGTAGCTTCTAACGGCCAAGGATTGGGGGACCACTTAATCATGACAACAAGGACCATCCTACCCTAGGGTATAAATAGGCAAACCCTCATCATCGTTCTTCTGTAAAATTAACTAACCTTTGTTTGATTGATGGTTTGAACCAGAAGTATGAGTCAAAATTTAGAAAACCAACAACAAATTCTTCTACCACTAGCTCCTCCAATGAATCCACCTCTGTCAGAGGAGCCAAAAACTTATAAGGAAACCATGCTTCGTCTTCTCAGGCAATCGAAATCATCTGAATCTTCCTTCTCCTTCTCTATAGCCTTTTAATAGGGTCACTAAGGAGGACCATCGAAGCCACTCTAATCCTTATCGAGCCTAGACAGAACAGGAAGATGAGGCTCAAAGGAGAGTTGGAGAAGAAATAAAACATATCCCTCCACCTTTTCTCCAGCAAAACCCTTTGAGTCAATATTGGGAGAACTACATTAACGAGGTCCAAGACAAGCTAGGAAACTGAAAAAATATCATCAAGAATTGAGCTCTAGTTCAACAAACGGAGCTCCATTCACTCCAAAAATCAAGTACTTTCCTCTCCTAGCCAAATTTGACAGGACCAAGGATCTCTTTGATCACCTCAACAATTACAAAAATCAATGGATCTTCATGGGTATTAGGACCCATTCAGTGTAGAGCCTTCGCAATCACTCTTAAAGGCTCTACATTAACCTAGTTCAACAAGCTACCATCATCCTCAATCTTCTCTGATGTGTTAGCTAAAATATCCATCCCAGCCCAAAGAGGGTTGGATAGATTGGAATGAATATTGCAAGGAAAAGCCCAGACTTGTAATACGAAAGTGGCTACCTATGCCTAGGCCTGGCTGGCCAAACCACATAAGGAAAGGGCCCATTAGATATGCCAAGCTGTCTGATGATTTTTAGGAAGGGCAAGAAATGGATTTCACCAGAAAACCTACCTTAGGAAGGAAGAAAACAAACCCAACCACCGAGTGAGCTATCGTGCCTAAAGAGTGTGGCCTCTAACGGCCAAAGGTTCTAGAATTATTCTAAGATTGAATGTATACCAATTTTAAACCTAACCTGCCACAATTACCAAATTAAAGATTGAATTTTCAATTAGCACTTTCAACCCCTTTTAACGTGGACAACTCATCAAGAGTGTGGATGGATGAATGAATATGCAATCAACACTAACCAATCCACAATCCCCTTCAATCTCAACCAAAGCCACAATCACCAAAACCACTAATTAATGACTTTAAAGATAAACAATCAATTCATCAAACATATGATGTGCATGTGTGCAACATTGCAAGTGTATAAGCAAATTGAAGTAATAAAGAACACATGCAATTTGTTGATGCGAGAATCCTTCTCAAGAGAAACTGTAGAAAATCACCCTAGGGTTCACCAAAGCTTAATCCACTAACCCAAAGTCAATCTACAAATAATTGAGTCATATACCTTAACCAATTCCCATAGTTAGATGTTTATTTCCTTCAATAGATCTCTCATTTGGAACTCCCTCTCCAAAGTTATGGGTAGCGTCACATGAATGCCTCCACTTCAATGGATCGTTTAGGCCTTGCACATTATTCAAGGCCTCATACCCAAGACTCTAAGAATGCACACTTCTCGAAGTGAGTTTTGATTGACACCAAGCAAGATTTTCTTCTTCAATGTGTGAGGTTGAATGGAAGAATCAATATGGTGGGCCTTTTTGAAATAAGGGATATAGGGTAGTTCTTGAAGCTCTCTAGAAAGGTTTGGGTTTTTTCTACACCTTGGAGGCTTACCTTAGGTGTAAACTATAGCCCCCTATTTATAGGCCATGAAAATAGAGTTTAAATGGAGCCCAACAAAACTCAAATTCACAACCGACTGCCCGAACAGTGGGAGGGTGATCAGGAGGACGGTGGTTTTTGGAGTAAAAAATAAGAAATTCTATAACTCTAGCTGGCAGATTGCTCAAGCTTTCTCTAGACCGCTTGAGCAGTTGAGAGAGGCCTAAAGAGCAATCTCCACTAGTTCTCCAAATTTATCTCCCTAAGTGTTCAGAGACTATTCTAGCCAAAGGTGAGTGACCATATTTATATCCATGCTTCATAGCTTCCATCGTAACATGGAGGTTGTGCTTGGTTTAACTATTAGGAATAATCTGATTAGATAAACTCATCCATTCCATGCCCATCCAGCCGGAGAAAAAAAATACAAATTTAAAATACATTCATTTTATCCTTTGTTTGGTTCAAATATTAACAAGTTGGGAGCCTACCCTTGTTCCATGTAACTTTTTTTTTTTGATGGAGTATTAAATGATAATATAACTTTTAAAATTACCAAGAACCTCAATTTAGTCCAATCCATATCCATGTTTGGTATTTATATCTAGATTTGCCAAGGGTAAAAATGTATTTTACACAAATACTCCCCATGCGGAATATTTTTGCCCACCAAATAGGAGGGTTTGTTTAAGAAGGTTTTTATATTAAATGCACTATTCATCTAGGCGTTGGACTATATATATTGATAATAGCAGACACAAAATATGTATACAATATATAGGTATGAATGGAATAAGATGGACTCATACATTATTTTATCCAATCACTCTTTCCTAATACCTAAACCAAGCACAACCGGATTGTTATATAATCCTTCCCCTTCTTATCGTGCCCTTTGATCATCAAGCGCAACTGAGTCAACTATTAAGAGTCCAACTTAGTATAATATAACAAGACTAAAATATCCCATGAATTAGTTGTAGAATTTGCAAGCCATTGTAAATCAAGTGCAGTGGCGACCTATTTGGATAATGTCTTCTTCCTATGTGTGAAGCTTTTCCGTACACTTAAGTCCTCAAGAATATGACTGCTGAATATGAAATTAACAATTAGAAAACGATGTTGTAATCTTTATTGCCCAATAGTTTGAAAGTCTTTTGGGTGGAATGGCAAAAAACCCTCCATGCACTACTTAACAAGAAATCCACATCTTGTAAGATAGACTCGGATGGTAGCATCATAAGATTTCGGTTGAAAAATTCATTATTTCAACATACCAAGTTTGACACTTGTAAAAATTTCGTGTGTTTTACACATGAATTTAAACACCGTGATTGAGATGATTCTATATTATCACTAGAAAAAAATGGCAGTTGCTATTTGGACAAAAAAAATGGTAAGGAGAATGACTCCTTGAGCCCCATAATATAAATAATATACATTTCTAGAAGACAATGGCAGCACTCACAACTCTCTGTTCACATTGCTAAAGCCAACAGGAGTTCCTCTACATACACCCCTATAAATGTTGGAGAAGTTTCTCTGAGGAGTGACTGTAAAATAAGCTTCTGCTTCTTAATAACCAGAGCTTCTCAAAATTCATGGCCTTGTTCTGGTTAGTTGCTTGCTTAAACTATATTTTCGTCTTGGGTTTGGTTTTAGCCTTTACTCCCGGGGTCACAGCTGCCCTTAATGGTAAGGAAATGGACCGGCTAGCACTGCTGGCATTTAAGGCCAAAATAACTAATGATCCTATGGGGTCTCTAAGGTCATGGAATTATTCCACCCATTTTTGCGACTGGAATGGTGTGGTATGCAATAGCCAACACCAGAGGGTCACCGTGTTAGACCTGGGAAATCAAACGTTGACGGGGTCCATATCTCCCTACCTAGGGAATTTGAGCTTTTTAAATGAACGTCTTCTTGGAAACAATAGCTTCGTTCAAGAAATTCCTCCAAAACTTGGCTGTTTGAAAAGACTTCGATTGTATTGGCTCAGGAACAATTCACTTGGTGGTGAAATCCCCGCCAATTCATCTAGTTACTCTAACCTCATTGAGATCCGTCTTGCTTGGAACATGCCGGTAGGGAAGATTCCTATGGAGCTTGGATCAATGTCAAAACTCCAGCTGGTTCGGGCTGCTTTAAACAGTCTAACAGTTGGTGTCCCTCTTTCTTTTGGGAACTTATCACCTCTTATGTTTCTTGGTTTTAACGCTAATAAGATAGTAGGAAGCAATACTACTACTCTTGGCCAGCTAACACAACTAGAATACCTTGGATTGTCTGAAAACATCTTTTCTGGTAGCTTCCCTCCCACACTCTTCAGTCTATCTTCCATCACTACTATTTTTGTTCCGGTGAACCAAATTCAAGGGAGTCTTCCATCAGACATGGGTAGCATTNATACCTTGGATTGTCTGAAAACATCTTTTCTGGTAGCTTCCCTCCCACACTCTTCAATCTATCTTCCATCACTACTATTTTTGTTCCGGTGAACCAAATTCAAGGGAGTCTTCCATCAGACATGGGTAGCACTCTTCCTCGTCCCAGTTACTTTTACATTTCTGGAAATTGATTTACTGGCACCATTCCTGGATCAGTGTCCAATATGTTAGTTCCGGAATATCTTCATGTCAGTGGTAACGAATTTATTGGAAAAGTGTCCACATTTGAAAACTTACCTAAGATTCGTCAAATAGACATCTCTGGCAACAGCTTACGAAGTGCAAAAACCAAAATGGATCAAGGTCGCCGTATTAGTAATCTACTCGGAGAGCTCTAAGACACATTTGCGGCATCTCGGCGTGGTATCGGGCGATACGATTTAAAAGAAAATGTTAAACATTATGAGAAATTCATGACATATCACGGTGTCGCGGAGCCAAATCAGTCAATTCGGTGATGATATTTCGGTGACTTGGGATTGACTTGGATACAACTCGGACGACTCAGNATATCACGGTGTCGCGGAGCCAAATCAGTCAATTCGGTGATGATATTTCGGTGACTCGGAATTGACTTGGATACAACTCGGACGACTCAGCTGAGTTGTGCGAGAATTGAGGTTTATACATGTCGTGTAACAGTATCGTCTCCGAAAGTGCCGAGACGGATACGACTTGACCGACTTGTATCGACATCGATCAATACTTTAAACCGTGAAAGCCAATGACCTCAGTTCATATTATCTTTGTGATAGGAATCAGATTATACGTTATTATAATAGGCGCAGACATAAGAATTATGAATTATTTGTCATTTTTATTTTTTGGGGGATTAATTGTTATTTTGACTATTTATTTTCTGAGATTTATAAGTACTCTCCATACATATATGTAGGGTACATAGTAGTTGTTTTTTGGGAGGCTTTGATTATTATTGAACATTAATATTTCTTCTTTCTCAAGTTCTTTTTATTTTCTCATTCCCTTCTTTTTCTTTTTTCATCCCTAATTCTTTCTTTTCCTAATCTACATCAATTTAGTATCAAAACTAATACGATCTNGGCTGAGTTGTGCGAGAATTGAGGTTTATACATGTCGTGTAACAGTATCGTCTCCGAAAGTGCCGAGACGGATACGACTTGACCGACTTGTATCGACATCGACCGATACTTTAAACCGTGAAAGCCAATGACCTCAGTTCATATTATCTTTGTGATAGGAATCAGATTATACGTTATTATAATAGGCGCAGACATAAGAATTATGAATTATTTGTCATTTTATTTTTTGGGGGATTAATTGTTATTTTGACTATTTATTTTCTGAGATTTGTAAGTACTCTCCATACGTATATGTAGGGTACATAGTAGTTGTTTTTTGGGAGGCTTTGATTATTATTGAACATTGATATTTCTTCTTTCTCAAGTTTTTTTTATTTTCTCATTCCCTTCTTTTTCTTTTTTCATCCCTAATTCTTTCTTTTCCTAATCTACATCAATTTGATATCAAAACTAATACGATGTACATCAATTTGATATCAGAGCTTAACTTCCATTCGTGCAAATCCTATCATCACTTTTCATAGAGACACTGTTCATCTCCACCAAGATCATCACTGTCCGTTCATATTAAACCCAACTCCCAGCAAAAATTCAAAAAAAAAAAAAAAAAATGTCGACCCAGTATTGGTCGCGAAGTAGACGATCAGATCAAGTCACTTATTCGTCATTGATCGTCACTGATCGACTTGTCACTATTCTCTCACTGCCACGATTTAGCTACCTCTATATGTCACTTACAGAGGCTAGGGTTTTGTTTGGAATGACAGCTTCAAATGGCGGATAGTTGCTCGTGGAGAAGAAGACCTACTGCCAAGTTTGAAAGGTTTGGTCTAAACCCTACCCAATCTCTTTATCTCTGCCCCGACCCTTTTTGTTTAAAAACCTTGATCCAACTTTTTAACCCAAATCAAGCCCAGTCCAAATTTCATCTGATCCATAATCCTTAGTTACCCAACTTGTAACCTGTTAACCCAAAATCAATTCAAGCCCAATTCAACACTAGCCTAATCCATATTGCAATTTAACCTAACCAAGCCTGAGTCCAATCTAGAAACCTTCCAAAACCCTAGACCCAACACTACCTTTGCCCAACAATAGTCAGTCCACTCCCCAAAAAAAAAAGAGATTTTTTTAAAAAAAAAATCCAAAAATTACTTGTTTGGGCCAGCAGTTTTGAAAAACAGAACTATTCTTGCGGTCTCAAAAATTAGAGAAACATTCCCAACAGTTTTATAAATTTTAGAATCATCTCCCAAAAGTTTCAAAAATCGCAAAAATATCTATCATCCAAAAGTTTCAAAATTATAGAAACATCCCAAATAGATCCATAAAATTACAGAATCACCCCCAAAAGTTCCCCCAAATTATAGAAATATCATCCAATGTTCTAGAATTATAGAAACATCCCCAAAAGATCCAAAAAATTATAGAAACATCATCTCAAATGTTCCAAAAATTGTAAAATCATTCCAGAAAGTTCTAGAATTTGCAGGATCATTCTCTAAATTGTCAAAGTATCCTCTTGGAGTTGTATTTACCACCAGACACGGGTTCTCTTTGTTGAGAATTGGTGACTAGTATTTATATTTGTTGATAAGTCCAAAAAAAAAAAAATTATATCCAAACTTTCTTTGTTTGTTTTCCCTACACACTATCTTCATAACTTAGCTTGCTCAATTCTTTGTTAAACCCATTGTTGCTTGTCTCATGTTTATTTGAGTCTCTTCACAATAAACTTGTTCTTGTGTGTGACTATTTGCATTGATTTATAGTTTTTATTACTT